CTGATGGTCAGTGGCCTCTTTCAGCAGGATATTACGCCCTGTTACGCGGCACACATTTTTCAGGAATGGTTTAAAGAAACAAAATGAAGAGTTCAAGGTGAACTCCAAATTCTCCAGATGTTAATCTGATTGAGAATCTGTGGGATGTGCTGGACCAACCAGTCCAATCCATGATGGCTCAACCTTTCAACTTAAGGACATGAAGGATCTGCTGCTAACGTCTTGGTGCCAAATACCACAGGACGCCTTCAGGGGTCTTGTAGAGTCCATGACTTGGCAGGTGAGGTCAGTGCTGTTTTGGTAGTACAAGGAGGATCACCACAAAAATAAGGGCAAGACAAGCTTTTCATATTCATCATTTGTCAGATACCATTCTATAAATATCTTGATTGAATTCCATATTAAAGAACTGCACTGAACACAGTAAGAAATCAGTCTGCTTAGTCAACACAGGTTTTCCAGATATCAGAAATTCCCATAAGGGCATGGAATTCTGGGATGAATATCACAGCACCCATCTCTGAGCTCTGGAAAATCCCCCAGGGCTTTTTCATCAGGTCTGTAAATTGGATTTGTTCCCTACCATTGATTCTAGTATAAAAACCACAACTGACCTGAATGATGGCACCAATTCCACCAGAGCCAATCAGGGTGACAGTATTTGTTGTTGTTTAACTCAGTGCTGATAACGCTGAGGGAAAACACAGTGCCCTCTGCATTTATAGCACTTGTGATGAATCGCTTCTGCCACTTACATAGATTTCCTGTCACAGAAGGTCAGGGGTCAGCTTCTTTTGTGCAAAACTGTTTTGTGCCTGGCGAGTTGGCACCTCATGCACAGAACGGTTGCTTGGATGAATGAATGACTCATGTGTGACATTATGATAACATTTAGATTTTGTTTTCTGGGTTGGTCCTCCTGTTTCCAGACTTTTTGGACAAAGACTTGATTTAAGGCAGCAAAAGTTCACTCATTATTCACTGACAGGCCAAACAATGAGCAGCTGAATTATGGGAAACCAGATGTGATATGGTCTCTATGGGGAAATGTAATAAAATGTGTCCATCTGTCGAGTTTAGTGTGTGTTTTTGTCTATATTTAGAAATTTATATTGTAGTTGTAATACAGTGATTCTTTGAATCCTGCTCCAGTCTGTATTACCCGAGGGCACTTTGATTGGCGGCTAGTCGTCAGGGTTGTGTAACATCAGCAGGGTAATTAAAAACATCTCCCACTCGTTTAATCTTCTTAATTATTTATGGTTCTATTCTCAGCCTAAAATCATGCTAGCATCCTAGTGCACCATATGCCCCAGATTCTTGGGACATTCTCGCTTTTTTCAATGGCTTTCTATATTGAGTACATGTGTGGAGCTTGTCCTAAAGTCACTTTCTGAGGAAACTGTAGTATGAGATCAAGAAGATAAGTACACTGAGCAGTGGAGTGTACTAGGGCTGGTGATCAAATACAAATTATTGTGATATATTCACAATAATTTAGCTGACAATATTTATTTAGGCAGTAGTCTCTTGACTGGTATTTTCCATACTGTATATATAAATGTTGCTTTTTATCATTATGTATTATTATATTGTTGCATAGGTGAAAATACAATTCTTCTTGTTGATTTAGTGAAAAACAGCATAGAAAACATGGCTTAATTAATTTTTTGGCTGAAAAGAAAATGCTTCCTCTGTTTAGAAAAAAATCAGTTACCATCTCAGTAGTTTACATTATTAATATTCAGTGTTAAAACTATACTAAACTATACTATAGAATTTCTTATATTTATAAGTCTTTGAGAATTATAAAGATAGTAGAACTGAACTCATACACATCAGTTGTTTCACCATTCATTACATATCGAATGCAACATGAGCAGAAATGAGTGAATGTGGTCAGCTTTATACACAACTGTACTTTGTATATCACAGAAAAAATATGTGTTTTTGCCTGCAGTTTACAAACAATTCAATAGATTTCAGTCAGATAGTCCACACCTATTGTACTCTCCTCAGTCTGTCTCTACTGACTCTCTCAAATCACTCTCTCTCAGTCTAAGTCTCTGTGAGTTTCTCTGGCACTTCTTTTTAGAGGCTTTTAGAGGATTTTTATTTAGAGTGTCACCTCTCTAAATCTCTCTAGTCTACCTCTCTATGACTCTTTGTCTGACTCTTTTTGATTTGGGAATTTCTGTCCCAAGTCTATTTAAATCTCAAAGCCATATGCATTCCATTTCTCTGAAATACTTTGTACAGAGTTCATACATGGGCAGTCCTGGACTAATGCTTGACCTCACTAGCCAGACGTGTTTTCCTCAGAGGAATAGAAACATCTTCAAAACATTCCATCAAAAATGACTACAGTTACTGAGAAATAATAGAAAGTTTTTGTTTTGCTTTCACTTGGCTGCATTCAAATAAAAAAAAGCTAAATGAATTAGATGGTTCTTTTAATTTTGAAGTGATAAAAAATAATATCATATTATCATTTTAATCAGCCTAATGAAGTATTTTAACTCTTGCTTTTTCTGTTCTGTTGGGGTGTGCATGTTTTTTTTTCCTTCCAGATTGCGGTTTTCCATCAGTAGTTGTAAATATTTCTCTCTGCCCTCCATCAAAGCTGACCACAATGATCTCATATGCCGCCACCTTTTTATGCTTTCCAGGCAGGTAAAAGGTGTATAATGCATGTGACTGGAAGAGGTGTGAAGTGAACCAATACACACACACACACACACACACACACACACACACACTTGTGCTGTTGCATAACGGAGTTACATAGGCCTTACATCACACCAGTGTCCTGAACACTTATCTGCGATGCTGCTTTGAAAAGGGGCCTGTTTCCTGCCTGTGAAATGTTGGTATCAGGTGTTTACTGGATGCTGATGTGATCTTTGAAGTTTCGCTGAAGTGTCTGTCCATCAACCAGCAACACATTGAGAGAAAAAAAACCTCAGCTCTTCTCTTTTGATGCTGGGCCATCATAATAGATACAATCATATATTTATATATTTTGTATGTAATTTCTTAATGAAATTGCATTAGGGATGCACAACATATCGATACTAGGGCTGCACGATAAATCGCATGCGATATTTAATGCGCATCTTGTCAGAAAAGCCGGTTCTGTAAACAGCGGTAAATCTCCATCACATGCGTGCTTTCACATTGAGCAGCATTAACTACACAGAGCCGTTGTTCACTGACGAGCTACGCAAAACCACGTTCATATTCGCGCGATTTTTTGCGCAGCTCGTCAGTGAACAACGGCTCTGTGTAGTTAATGCTGCTCAATGTGAAAGCACGCATGTGATGGAGATTTACCGCTGATTACAGAACCGGCTTTCTGACAAGATGCGCGTTAAATATCGCATGCGATTTATCGTGCAGCCCTAATCGATACCATACAAAAGAAATAAAATCTTTAAAAACAAGTAGTTATTTAATTAGTAATTAAATCAATTAATTATTTAACTAATACTGTTAAATGTCATTTTTTGTAAAACTCAAAATAATTATCCATTGTTCATACTGTACATTTGAATTTAGCTTTTAGTGATTATTTTTAATTTCTTTTGTTAAAGTAGTATATAATTTTAATATCAACCATAGCATGAACATAATTATCTTATCTGTATAGGCCAGAATTTTAATATTATGCTCCTCTAGCATCAATACTTTTTTCAGTATTTTATTTTATTTTTTTCATTTATGCATGTATGCATTCATATTTTACAGTTTAATGTAGAAGCAGGTCATCATGGTATGTGTCCTTATCTCTACAAATCTGATTTCAGCATCACAAAACTAAAACTACTTTGCACAGGTCAGCATGTTAATCTTTATTATGTTTCATTCTTCATTAAAGGAATAGTTCATCCAGAAATGAAATCATTTATTCACCCTCATGTCGTTCCAAACCTGTATACTGGTATTTTTAGTGACCAGTGCCTGTCAAAAGGTATAAAAGAACACAATAAAATTAGTACATACACTATATTCTGCCTTTTATGCAGATTGACGAGCTTAATCAGTTTTGCAGGTGAACAGCATGGAAATACCAGCATTAACCAGTGTTTGTAAAATCATGATGTTTCTAGCTGGTGTTTATTTAACATGCCACACACAAACACACAAAAAGCTGGCGTGTCATGAAGGTGGATGTCCACTCCTTCCACCGGGGTAGTGTGTAAGTCTACACTGCTTGCAGGAAACACTCAGAGCTGTGCATGAATTAGTGATTGACACATCCCCTCTTGTTACACAGTGCCTGAGTTCAAAACAAACCTTCTCTATGTGTGGGAACAGAACCACTGAAATGCAAACACAAACTGGACAATGCTGCATATGGACAGCAAAAATTCTTCTTCTTCTTCAAATTTCATATTCAATTTATTCAGATAGTAGTTTTATTCATAGAAATTAAACATGAGAGAGCAAAAAAGATCATCAGATCTTTTGTTTTATTATGAATTTTTTTGTGTTATCAAATTAATGTTAGATTTTGCACTTTAGCACAGGAGCTGCAGACTTAAAATCAAATTTATATCAAAACAAACATATCAAACAATACACATTTATATCTTAAACAACAGTTAATTAGCCACACCAATTAATCACGTCAGTATAGTGAATATAGACGATGTGTGGTGTAAAGCTAGAACTTGTTCTAGTATCCTTGAATGAACCTTTTGTTTTATTTTCTTCCTGTCACCGTTCTGTCTTTACTTGCTCCATCAGCACAGTAAAGGTCACACTTCATATTTCACCTGCCCCCTTCTATTCAAAACCATCCAAATCAGCACTGCTGAGTCCTGTACCATGCCTCTAGGGCACAGGAGAGCATGATGCTAGTTTTATAATAACACAGATGCTTAAAACATCAGCAGAATCGTGAAATTACACACTGCAAAAGTTTACAGTAGATATGAAGTTATTTAATTCAAAACCAAAGCAGTTCTGAATTGTGTTTTGTTTGTAATTCTCCCCAGGAGCGGTTTGAGGCTCTGTTCAGGATTTATGATGATCAGACGACCTTCCAGATGTTCAAGAGTTTCAGAAGAGTTCGGATCAGCTTTAGTACTCCAGAGGCTGCTGCACGCGCACGCATCGAGCTCCATGAATCCGATTTCAGCGGCACTAAACTAAAACTGTACTTCGCACAGGTCAGTGCTTTACTTTTTATTATGTTTAATTCTTCATTAAAGGGATAATTCATCCAGAAATGAAAATTCTGTCATCATTTATTCACCCTCATGTTGTTCCAAACCTGTATGCAGGAGCTGTCAAACTCCAAAACAGCACAAAAGAGCATCATAAAATTAGTCCATATGACTTGGGCACTATATTCAAATGCTATAAAGATATATTTCCAAAACAGACTGAAATATACAATTCTGTTTAAAAGTTTGGTGTCAGTAAGATATATTTTGAAATCTCATTTTAAGGTTGGATTTATTTAATAAAAAATACAGTAAGAACAGTGATATTGTGAAAGATTATTAAAAAAATTTGTTTAATTCCCTTTAATTTCTATATTAATAATAATCTAATCTAATAATCTAAATAAAAGTATAAATTTCTTTAAAAAAAAAACTTACTGGCAATGTAAGTCTTTATTCATTCATATTCATTTATTATTTTTCATAATTTTGCTTTCCCCTGAAGTTTGCATATAGCCCATGTTCTAACTCATATGGTTGTTATTTGTTTTTTTTATGTTGAACACAAAGGTAGATTTTTTTTTTTTTTTTTTGTATGTTATGTTTATTGGAGCATTTTCAAATGTAGCATTCAAAAAATACCCAAAAGTAAATACATAAAAAAAAAAAAAAAAAGACAAACAGATAATCATAGCATGTTCTCTTACTTAAATTTAGTTTGTTACTACAGCAGATGTAAACGAGGGAGGGCATGGCAAGTTTGTACATAATATAACAGTAACATAATGAATCAAGCAAGGTGCATAAGGCGTTTGATTCATTTAACACATTGTCTTTGACAACTATAAGAAAATTATAAGAATTTATAGGACAATTATAGGAAGCAACATGAGCTGAGATCTCGGGACTCTCAGTGTAACATTAGCAGGAGACCAGACGAGTGAACAGGAGAGTTTAGTTCTTAATTTCTCCTCTCAGAGGTCTGTCAGCTGGGGATAGTCACACAGTCACACACACACACACACACTGTGGAGACTTTCGCATGTGAATAATCATCATTGCTATTAATTATGTGAAATCAGACAGACACAATTATATTTCTAGAATCATTATGCAGTAAATGTGCTCCATGTGTTTTATTCAGAACACTGAAAAAGTGGACGCACTCCTCACAATGATTCTGTGTATTTGTGTGCTGCTGTGTGGAAGTGCAGAAATGATCTAGGACACAGTGTGTCTTTCGAACAGTAAAAGAATAGCCTGTTTCCTTCAGAGAGATGTAACTATGGTGAGAGTATTCCTTCAAATCAATTAGATCTGGGCCTGAACTGTGCTATATTTAGCTTAGAGGATGTATTTAATTTAAAAGGAGAGTTAGAGCAGTTTTTTCTTTGTTTGTGTAGTCTTGTTTCGTGCTTTACCACCTCATCTTTTTTCTCTCTGGCTGCAGGTGCAGAATTCAGGGGACAATGTGGACAAGACATACCTTGCCCCACCTCAACCTGTCAAGCAGTTCCTCATCTCTCCACCTGCGTCCCCACCTGTGGGATGGAGAGTGCTATGTTTTTTTACTAACAGTTGTAATCTTTTAATGGCTTTCAAATATCATATAATTTCTTAGTGAGAGGACATTTATCTACAAAATGTCCACCTGATGCAGAAAAGATGGCAAAAACAATCTAACACAAAATGTTATGGGCACTATTCTTCATATCTGGATTAAGTTATCTGGCTTTAATTGTAGATTATATTACATAATCCTGGACTGTACCGCTCTTTGAAACTCATAAGAGTTGTCGTTATAGCAACAAGCCCATAAGATCAAACATGCTTAGTATTATGTTTATTTAACGTAAACGGGATCAAATCACTAAGGAGGTGAAGTCTGTCCCACTTTCTGTTCTTAGAGGAGCACCATGTTAAACTAGATGCAAAAAAAATACTTGTCACTAGTTAAACAGACTGTTTTTCTAAGGCTATATTGTTGTTGTTGTTGTTGTTAATGATGATGATAATATAGATAGATAGATAGATAGATAGATAGATAGATAAACCTCATAATTTACATTAGCTGTACAGTTTGTCCAAGCAATGCAGAGAAAGTTTTTTGTCATGGGTAAATTCTTGTTCTTGGGTAGTTCTTGTTTAACATTTTTTGCGATTGTTGTCAGTATTTCATAGGTCAACATTTAGTTCAATAGACAATGCAAACATGACGTGTGTAGAAGGTCCGGGAATGTATTTGTACTAGAGTTTTCATGAAAGTTGAAAATGTCCTATCCACAGAATGGATTTCACCAATGATCAAGAAGTTCATAGCTAAATTCTGGACATATTTGGCTGGGAAGGAAGTCGTGAGTTCTAAAACAAACTGTATGTTTTTTAGTGTGTCAATTGATTTCAGAAGTTCTTCATCTTTTATCTGTCTCTCTAGGTGAGAAGTACGAGCTGCATGCGGGTACAGAGTCCACTCCTAGCGTGGTGGTCCATGTGTGTGAGAGCGAAAATGAGGAAGAGGAAGAAGCCCAGCCAAAAACCAAGATTGTCCAGACCAGACGCCCCGACGGTCCCCTGAAAGTCTACAACTAAAACCTTTGGCACACTTTACACGTTTTTCTCTCTCTGTGTCTCTTTCTCTCATCCAGGGAAAGGCACGCTTTATTTCAATAACAAAAAAAGCTAAACTAAGAAATGGATGGATTTGGAGGGGTGCTCCGTGCACAGGTGACGTGTGGTGTTCTGAACTGGACTCGTGGACTGAACACACTGTCTCACTGCTGCCTCAAGGGACAGCCAGGGGGCGATGAGCTTGCAACCCCCCTCTCACAATCATAACACTTTCATTCCCTCATTTAGAGTCATTGTACTGTAGCATTGAAGAGCAGTAATTGTCTTTAACAGTCGTAGAAGTAGGTTACATGTAAACTTTGTTGCTGTTTGTCACTTTGATTGATCATCAAAGAAAATAATGCTTTAAAAAAGGAAGCAGACCCATTCTGCTTTCTATTTCTCTCTCGACAGCCGTGTCCGCGTTTATCTCCATATCGGTCAGGTTGGCACACCTGCAGAGGTGGCGCTGCTCGCTGGGATTGTGACACGTGTGTGTATATATGCCTGTTCATACCATGCTAGAATGGGATGACAAGTTGTTTAATGGAAATGGTAAGAACGAAGGTGTCGACTGAAGTGTTTCTGTCATGTTGGTTATGACGAGAGGGTGTTTACTAAGTTAGATGTGTATTATTTTTACTGTGTATTTGATAGCACACATTTTTGCATGCTAACTAGCGTATTTTACACTCTATGTTAAAGCAACTTGTGATTGTCCTTGGAAAGCGAAGAAACAGTTGTCAGGTGTAAAGTTCAACATTTTGTACTTGTATAGCGCATCATTCACTTGCTGGCCAGACAAACAATTAGGAAAAAGCACATGGTTTGGGTCTTAGTTTTACACCATCTCTGTTTGGCGTGCTTCTGCACCACTTGCATTGTTTTTTTTGCAAGGTTTTGCATATCTTCATAGATTTACTGAATCTACATTGACATGCTCAAGTTTCGAAATGAAAAACAATGTGCCGAGCGATTTGGCCCAGAACCACTGTGTCAACGCTTGACTACTGTCATATCAATGTTAATTGTTAAGTTGTGTATTTTGCATTGACAGATCAAATCATAAAGGGATAGTCCACCGAAAAATGAAAATTCTGTCATCATTTACTCATTTACTCCAAACCTGTATGACGTTCTTTCTTCTGCAGAACATAAGATAAGTTATTTTGAAGAATCTTGGCAACCAAACCGTTTTGGTGCCTTTTGACTTATATTGTATGGAAATTTCTTCTCTTATCCCAGTTCTTTTGTGTCTCGCAAATCCTCATTTTTAATTTTTTGGGTTTATAAACCTCCACTGTGTTAATTCATACCAAAATGGTAAAAATAGATGAAAATGGATGGATGAAAATGTCATTTTAAGATGTGTTTTAGTAATAATGTACAGACAGTGAAGTAGAATGCCACGACTGACCATCAGATTGAGGACTGCAGAGAGGCTTGTAAAGATGGTGGTTAAATTAGCCTTATAAAAAGTCACATTTTAGTCAAAGAAAGAAAATCCAGTTAAACATTGAGTGATATTCTGTCATATTTTGAAATGTGATATCATGATGATGTAATCACATTAAAAAGAAATAATGCAAGCAAATAACTGTGATGTTCATGTGACTTTATAAATGGCCTTGCTCCCTTGCTTACATGTGAGAAAAAGATTTCAAGTGTTTTGTTTAAAAGCCAATCCTTCAGTGACGAATGACCCCTTTAGCAAATAACTTAATAAAGAAATAAATCTATCGGAATTTAACTTTTTTTTTTTTTTTTTTACTTCTGCATGCTGTGACTTTTCCATAGATGCAGTCTTTCCCGTTTGTATCTCACTCTGGATGCAGCCCGTTTCTCCTGTTGTGTTTTCGGGTGTTCAGTCGATATGGGGGTGAGAAACATGGTGAACAAAGCTCTTTTGAGTTATTGATAACCAGCATGAACAAATGTTTTGGACTCTTTGAGTTTTGTGTGTGTTAACCTTTAAGACAAAAGGAAGAAGTGAAGTATATGAACACAACAAGCAAATTTGTAAGATATCATTGGCAGCATAATGTATTGATATTTTTTACTGTCTTTAAGGCTGTTGTTGCAGTTGCTTTGTATCAGTAAAATTATTTTGTTCCTTCTCTTTTTTTTTTAAGGAAGTCTACAGATAGTTCTATCACTGTTGCTGTTCTGTTTGAATATAGATATTGTCTAGTACTGTAACTGTAGTTCATAACCCGTGAACACGAAGCAATAATTGACAGTTATGTCTGTGTCCTTGTATGCTATTTTTTTTTTGTGCAGAGCTCTTCTCTGACTCTTAGCTTGCTTTTGTTTGTGTAAATATGATTGTTATTTGTTTCTCATTGGCATATAAATATATAAATAAAGATATATATATATAAAAAAATGATTCTTTAAAAAAAAAAGTGTTGTAATGTGTTTATTTCACCCAAGTCAAGTACCTCCCAAGTGTGCATCAAGTCCATTATGATTCAGTACTGTTTAAGGGTGTGAATAACGTTTATTGGACCCATATTTCATTAATCATGATGAATACCAGGATATATTTACATAATTTTGTGCGTGTGTCCTTTTCCTCATTCCATCTGTGAAGGAGCGGTCATGCGTGGGCAAAAACGTAAATTCTGAATAGACATTGTGTGAAATCTTACTCTCTTTTTTACCTCATTAATGTAAAAAGAATTTCACATTAAGATTGTGCCAGGCTTTATAAATATCTCAGTTGTACTTATTGTCTGTTTTTGCCTTTTTTTAAACAAAAGGTAGGTTTAACTGTCACAGCCTACTTTCCACTATCCACTTTTTCTTTATCCGACAATACAAGGAGGTTCCTCTCCACCTCGCCAAGGGAGAATGGGATACACCTGATTTTTGTTTTTACCTGTCAATGAGGAGATCCCAGCCCAGTCTCCTGGGATACAAATACTGATACAAAGATACTACTTATACACGCTCTCACATGTCCTGTTGGGAATCATTCTTTGAGGGATATAATAAGGAGCTTGTGAATCACATCTAGTAGCTTTGAACAAGATATACTAGAACTAGATATGCCTGAATTTGTAACGTTTTTCCTCTTGCATAATGCAAATCGATGTGTATACTGAAAATCTGCTTATAACCACTGAAAAGTAGCAATACAAGTTATCTGATAATATATACTCAAGATTGGATTACATATCACTTAGGCTATACTGTATAATCTGAGCATGTATATTATCGACATATTCATTTATAAATATCACATAAAGTGCCCCCAAAAAGTATTTGAACACTTAATTGTGTCACACTTAAAATGTGTAAATGTCTTTGTATAATAAAACAAAATATCAAACTAAACATACATACATATAAAAAGTGCACGCACTGCTTTAAAGCAAAATATTTAATAAGAAGTTTGCTATGTGTGCATATTCAAATTATTACAAAATAAAAGCATTTTTTTCCCCACATTTTAGGTGATAACTGATAAATTGCCAATAGCATATACTATTTTATCTAATTAATACAAACTCAAAATATTAAATAATGTTTCTAAAGATTTTTTTTCAAGTGAGCATCATATGACAGCAAAGGTAATAGGCCAAATGAGCTATCTACAGTGGGTACGGAAAGTATTCAGACCCCCTTAAATTTTTCACTCTTTGTTATATTGCAGCCATTTGCTAAATATCGACTAATGCTGATAAATCCATCATCCATCCATCCATCATTCCATGGGCTCATGCCCGTTGGTGTCCAATGCCTGACGCTCCATTTCCACTGTGCACGGTCCTGTGACATCCTGCTGAGAGAGTGGATGTCCATCTGACACCATTCTTTGATGTCATCCAACCACTCCCTACTCGGTCTTCCTCTCCGTGTCCGTCCATCCATGATCCCAAACACCACACACTTCACCAGTCGCTTGTCCTCCATCCTGCAGATATGTCCAAACAGGCTGAGCTTCCTCTCCATGATGAGTTGTACAATGTTCCTCGTGTTTCCAACTCGTCTTTGCACCTCCACGTTTGTGATTTTCTGATGCCAGTGAATGTGCAAGATTCTCCTGTAGCACTTCATTTCAAACGCCCGCAGTAAATCTTTGTCTTTCTTCCTCAACGTCCATGTCTCACAAGCATACATGCAGCAACACACTCATCACACATGTCCAGATTATGCTGATTTTGGTCTCTGTTCTGATATGCTTGCTGTTCCATATTGTCTTGAACCCTGCCATTACTCCAGTTGCCCTCGCTATTCTCCTCTTTATCTCCTTGTTGCATTCATTGTCCCAGGTCAGTAGACTAACCAGGTACACAAATTCCGTGACATTTTCAATACTTCTGCCCCTAATCTCCAGTTCCTCTTCTATGTCCTCTTGTCCAAACACCATTGTCATTATCTTTTCAGTGTTGATCTCTAATCCTGCGGCCTCCCCTGCTTCATTGATCCGATCCAGATTTCCTTGTAATTCAACTCTATCCTCCTCCAGTAGATCAATGTCATCTGCAAATTTGAGGTTGTTGATCTTGTAACCATGGACTGATATTCCAGTGCCATTGTCTCTCAACGAGTCCATTACTCTCTCGAGGTACGAGATGAATATAGTTGGCGATATCGGATCCCCTTGTCTTGTTCCGACCATTGTTTTAAACCAATCACCCATTTCTCCGCCAACTCGCACCGCCGACTGCGAGATTTCACAGATGTTCTGC